TTTTTTTTTTTTTTTTTTTGTACTGGCGATCAAACTCGGATCCTTGCGTCTATGAGGCAGGCGGTGGAACCACTGAGTTAAATCTCTGGCCCAAGCATTTTCTCATCCATTCTTTCAGAACCATGCTTGGTCTTTGGCTGCTGAACTATGGTCCTGTAAAGATTATACAACAAATTTGCTGAGATTCTTGCAAGGTAGGGTGGGAAGCAGCTGGGTTGTGGCATGAGAACCAAGTGGCTGGGAAAGGCCTCCTCCCAACACCAGGAACCAACTCTGAGTTCAACTCCTTGCTCTGACTCTGACCAAAATGGTGACCTTGGACAATTTGTGTGACCTCTCCTGTCACAAGTTTCTCATCTGCAAAATGGGACTAAGTTGCAGTAATACCTATGTGATAAGGGTGTTAATAGTCTTGGATCCAGTCATGTGAGTTATGTTATTTGTTATCCTGGGAGTTCAGTTATCACTTGTAGCTTGGAGGCACAGCAGGTGGAGGTGGAGTTATGAGAGACGGCTTGGGTGGGCTGAGCTGTGGCAAGGAGGGGGCTACTTAGGGAGTCAGAGTCTGGGGCAGGGCTAGGGGGCGCAGACCCCTCTAGCTGGAGAGGAAGGAGGTAGAATGAGACTGGGAAGGTAGGTAGATCACATCATGGAGGAGCTTACAGATTCCTGCATGGGGTTTAAATTTTCCCCAAGAATCAGGCCAGTCCTCCGGGGTGGTGGTGGGGAATGACAGCAAAAACCAATCCCCTGAGGCCTGGCCCCTCGGAGATCAAGTCTTTTATGCTATCAATGAGATTCAGTCACTGCTCAACCGGGCAGTTCCCTACATTAAAGTAAGCAGAAAGCACAGCCATTTTCTCTTCTACACCATCAACTCTGGGGGATGGCACGGTGAATGGGAGCACAAAGGGAGAAGGATTAGCGTCCTTCCACAACCCTTTTATTTTCCTCTGTGATGAATCTTGTGCCCTTTCAATGAAAGTGAGCTCTACTCACATTTCCTCTCAGTGCCCTTTCCACTTCTGTCCCCAGGAGCCCATCACTCACAGTGGTAAATCCAGCCCTCAGATAAGGCTGGCACCTCCTTCTGCTTCCCTCCTTCCCTCCTCAGAAACACCTCCTCCTTCCCAAAGGTACAAGGTGGCAGAGGGAATCAGGCCATGGCGGAGCCGCGTTCCTCCCTGGAAGAAAGTCTCCTTGCTGCAGACCACCCGCTGGCTGCACACCCAGCGCCTGGAGACCAGAGCAGGAGGGGAATGTGTCCCCATGAAACAGCTCAGGGACAGTCCTGACACCTGGCCCCTCTGACAACACAGGGACCACTGACAGCATTGTGTGCAGGCCCGACTCTTCTGAGACAGCGCTGCGCTGCTCTCGGGTCAGAACGAGCAGATTGTTGTCAAAGGGCAGCAAGAGCCTTGGGCATAAGCAGCTCAACAGAAACAGCGAGGTGGAGGAGGTTGAGGCCACTCAGACTTTCCCCTGAGCTCGCTGCTGACCGGCGGGTGTAGAGTTTCCCAGCTTCTGGATCTGCAGCTGTGCACTGGCCATTTGGCTCTGACCACTGCCCTTGCAAGAATGAGGTCTCAGGCTTGTTTCATAGGTGAGGAAAATGAGGCACAAAGAGGCTAAAAAGCTTGACCAGAGGTCACAGAGCTGGGCCTGGCACCATCAGGCTTCTGCAAACTCAGTGTCACTGTCGCTTCGAACGCGGTCAGTGCGTGAGGCCCATGGTGAGGAAGGACTGACCTCAGGGTAGTGGCTCTGTGAGGATCTCAGCTCCGAGTGAGCCACCATCACTGTTTCAGCCTCAGTTTACCCAGCTGCCGGAAGGAGAGGACTGACTCCAATCTGTGGAAGGAAGCAGAACTTCTCGGTGCACAGATGATGAGAAGGAACCTGAGTCCTCAGCCTCCTGAGGGAGGATTTGGTGTGGCTGTGACGATAGACTGAATGAGACCGAAGGGAAGTCTCCTCCCCCTTCAAGCTTCCCTGGACATCTCACCAGGCTCTGCCTCAGAAAACCTGGCCTGCTTTCTTCTGGGCAGAGCCCTCGGTCCACATAGACCTCTGCCATGCCAGAGATTCTTGGTGGAGCTGGTGGATTCCGACTGGAAACCCCTGCCCATTCCTTCTCAGCAGAAGACCCCAAGCAGGTCACTTAGCCTCTTTGTTAACAGGGGGAAGGGGTCGTTGTGTGCAGTGAGACAATGGGCAGAATGTGCTTGGCATGCCGCCCGGCGCGAGCACTGTCCCACAAAGGACCTGTCACTTCTATTGTTTCTGGTGGTTCTGGGTTCACACTGCGGTTGGCACTGTGCTGGCCACATTCTGTGAATCCACTCATGCAGTCCTTGTAAGCCACAGGATGCAGGCAAAGGGCTTCACCTGCTACCTGGCAGGTAGCTCAGAGTAGAACCTACTGCTTTCTAAAAATTATTTTCAAATAACATGGGTTAGTTATACATGGGTTTCAGTGTGATATTTCAACACAGGCTTATGGCACATACTAATCAAATCCAGTCTCCATTTGTCTATCCCCATACACCCTTCCCAATCTCACTTAATTACTATTTTACATTCAAGTGGACTTAATTTGTTTTAGCTTTCACACATGAGCCAGAACATGGGAAATTTGTCTTTTGGTGTCTGGCTTATTTTTCTTAGCCTGATACTTTCCAGTTCCATCCATTCTGCTGCAAATGAAGTGGGATTGCTGGATCATAGGGGTGGTTCTACTTTTAGTTTTTTTGGAACCTCCATATTCTTCTCCATAGTGGCTGTCCAAGGCTTTTAACAAAACTTTGCATTTAAAGGAAGGAGGCTATCGGGCTGCCTGTCTATCTAACTATCATCTATCTGTTTTTTTTTTATTTTATTGAGTTTATTGGTACATTTTAGGGATGCAGTACAGTTACATTCATTGTTGGGATCATGTACCCCTACATGGCAAGTCTCATCTATCTGTTTTTTTTTTATTTTATTGAGTTTATTGGTACATTTTAGGGATGCAGTACAGTTACATTCATTGTTGGGATCATGTACCCCTACATGGCAAGTCTCATCTATCTGTTTTTAAAATTTTCATTAGCCCATGTTTGCAAAACATAACTATTACAGTCATCACGGGGAGTTGGTACACGTGCATGACACATATTAAATCTTTTTACTTCCCTTTTTTGCTCTCCTCTCTCCCTCTCCCTCCATCTCTTGGTGCCCTTCCCATTTGCAAAGCTAAACCTACTGTTAACATAACATCTGGCCCTGCCCTGGCTGCTGCTTCTGTTATAGGGGAAATAATATAACTCCCAACCTTCTAGATGTCAGATACACCAAGTTTGTGGTTTCCAAATTGCAGAATGACTGCTAAGGAACAACGGGGGTTAAAAGTAGGAAAGTTTTACTGAGAGGGGGAGATTTTAGCTTCTGAGAGACAGGAGGGGGCCTGAGTGAGTTGCTGTGGACCCCACTTCACAGGGGAAGTTTTATAGAGCAAATTCATGAGGTGGGTACAACCTGGGACAAAACTGTGATCAGCCAATACGATTATAAGTATAGTCGCTTCCAGTGGGGAAGCAGGTCACATAGCAAGTGTATATGGAAAGAGTAAAGAACTTTTTTAGGAAGGGATGAATCTGGAGGTCTTAGTCACCCACCTGGGTGACTGATGTCTGCCTAGACCACTTATCTCTTGGGGGAGTAGTATGCAGACCTGGTCATTTTGTCTTTATTTTGAGGCCTGGCCTCCAACAGATGTGTCTTCAGCCACAGTTGTAAAGTGTTTTCATCTTTTGTATCAGCCCTGTCTGACTGCCTATAATACTTCTACCTTAGACACTAACTATAATACTTCTGATGGGGACCAAACACCATGACATAGCTCATGCAGCCTGTCAATGTCCTCCTCTGTGACCATCCACCCTTGGAAGCCATCTCACACTTCTGTGGTTTACAGGTAGACATACTTGAGAGCCTGTGGTTGCAGTGAAGGTTCCTGGAGTGCAGAGCGGGGGTGGGTGTGGGATGATCAGGGAAACCAGAGGGGGAACCAGGGAAGTCAGCATGGCCAGAAGATAATGGTTGAGCTGGGTTTTGAAGGAAGACCAGGAGTCTGCAGGGCAGGGGGAGAAACAGGGCATGTTCAGTCGCCGTAGGTCATTGGAGCCATCAGGGAGCAGGCAGGTCAGAGGTGAAGAAGGCCTGTGACCGGGCTGAGTTGGCATTTTCTCCGGGTACCATGGGAGCTATGGTGCAAGAGCATCTTTGAGAAGCCGGGGGAGGAAGGGGGTCCTGAAGGGCCCGGGAATGCTCAGCCTGTCTGGGGAGGGCACCTCCGCACCTAACCCAGGAGTCTCAGGGGTGGCTCAGGCTGCCATTGGTGGAATAGGACACCTTGGCTGCTGGATGCTTCTAGAATGGAGGAGGCCAGATAGCTTTGGAGCCCAGATCTCTGTAACCTCCTCCCATACCCCTGTCTTTTCCTCTTTTCTTCTCTGAAGAACAGAGAGAGAGGCTCTCTTTCTGAATTTCCCTTATATGCCTTGAGCCTGGATCTTCCATAAATACTTCACTTCTAAATTTTACAGTTCCTGGTTACTTCCTGTCTTTCCTGTTATGCCCGTATGTGTGTGTGTGTGTGTGTGTGTGTGTGTGTGTGTGTAAAATAAATCAGCATGCTTTTTCTCCTGTTAATCTATTGTCCATGTATGTCACAGCTTCAATGATCAAACCTTTAAAGGACAGGGAGAAAGTTTAACTCTCTTCTAAAGAGTGAAAGGAGCTCAGCTTGAGCTTAAGGTAAGTGAGACTTCGTCTTGTCATCTCATCTACAAGATGCTGATGAATTACTGAGGTCCAGGATGCTGGGAGAGTGGACTGGGACTTGCATGGAAAGCCCTTCTATTGCTCCAGGCACTGAAGGTGAGTTCCTTAGTGGCCAGGATACCCCCCGAAGAAACTGTTCCCTCTTCCTCTGCCCTAATCCCTGAATGTGGAGAAAGGCCATTTCCTTCACAGTCCATGAGGAGGACTCTGGGTCATGTGGCTTAGTTAGTGTGTGACCCTCCCACTCCAAGCATACATTTTTGCACCTACGTCTGGTGTGGCTGCAACAAGGCTCCACTGACAATGAGTCCATAAGTAAAAATCATGGTGTGTTTCCTCTACCGGCTTTGTTTCAACATAAGATAAAGGATAGGAAACCACTGTAATCTGCCAGGATAATCAGAACTGATAGCCCTGATCTTCCCAGGAGGGTGTGATCAGGCTTTGGATTGTCCTGCAGGTGGCCTGGGTCATTGGACTCAGTGTGGGTCAGGGAGGCTAGGATGGGCACATCTTTGTCCCTTGCCAGAGGTGACCTAGGACATACTGCCCAGACTCTCAGGCTCACTTTCTTCCTTCTCTGGGTTGTCTGAAGGATTTCAGTACATGATGCCTGCAAAACCCTAATGGTGCCTAATGGTGCAGTAAGTACACAGGAAATACAGACCCAATTCATCGCTGGACCAGCTGATGCAAGAGGAATATTATCTGGAATGGTTTCTTCCCTCCTACTTTCCTGCTGCATCCCAGATCCGGTCCCCAGACCCCTCCGTGGAGCTCTGGCTATTGGTTGGAATTTTGTCTGTGTCCCTGACAGAGCAGGAAGTGGGTGGGGACAGGCTTCTCTGCTGCTGCTCACCTCACATGGGCCTCACTGTTTGTTTTCTTCACCATGGCGGGGGGGGGCTCCTCATACCCCCTAAGGACTGTTTTCCTTTCACAAGTGGTGTATGTTTGGACACAGCATTTCCTGGTTCCCTGGCAGATCGCTGATTTCTCATCATCATCCCTCTGCCTCTCTCTGGTGACAGGAAACCCACTCCAGAAGAAGCAACACAGGAAATGCAGGAACCCTGGGCCCTGCTGCCTTCCGTGTTCTGAGCCTACAACCTTGGGGGAGGCCTTGTGTGTGTGACGTTGCTTCCAACTGTGCTCCTGCCCTCCTTGCTGTCCAGCTCCCCTCTTCCAGTGTTACAGGGAGAAGTGTTGGCGGAGGTCACAAAGGTACCACCATCCCGTACTTTTCTCTATCAGACCACTTCCTGTGCTTCTCATCAGCACCCACAGCTGGGTGCGCACCCTGATATCTCCACTGACCTGTGAGTTGCTCAAATGGCCCAAGCCTCACTTCTTTAATTGTAAAATGGTCACGAATGCTTTGTGAACCGCACAGGTTTAGTATAAAGATGATATAAAAACCAACGTGTAAGTAAAATGCTGAGCTCTGTGCCTGACACTTAGTTGCTCTTATTTCTAATTTAAATAATGATGATGATTTAATTATATTTTAAATGTGTAACTTTGAGTCTCATAATTTGTCATTTAATTATGGTTATTTATGAATGCGCTTTTCCTCCTTCACACACCACGAGCCTCACGAGGGAAGGGGTTGGATCTTGTTTTTCATCTGCAAATACGAAGAGCAGAGTAGGTACTCAGTAAATGTTGGGAAGGCTGAGCATGTGTGAGATCTCTGCGGTCCGAGAGTGCGATAATACTCTGAAAGTTTGGAAAGGCCACAGCTGGGACAGAGGCCTGACAAGGCACGGGGAAAGTCACAAGCGGAGGTGCGTGACAGGAACTTTGCCCTGGGGTGTTTCAGTGGGACCACGAGGCATTCAGATGAGGGAGTGTGGCTGGATGCACTGGGGACCGCTGTGACCTCCCTTTCGAAGTCTGTACACGATGAAGGCTGGACAGTCATACATTTCTGTTTCATTTAATTATTCCTTCCGTTGAGTCACATTTTTGGAGTATTGACTTTAGACTTTTCGTGGGAGCAAATCTCCATTTTCTGTCTCTTCCATCACTAGAATGTGTGTAGCATTCAGATCACTCCTGCCTACTCCCAAGGACATGACAGACATGACTAATGGATAACAGCATCTGGTTATTTTACAGTCTGTCTCTGCAAGCAGCCATTCCTGATAGGATGGATTCCTCCTTGGGCTGACAGCTGCTCGCCATCTTCGGCCTAGACCTTAGCTCACTGGGTAGGTCCAAGGCCTCCATAAATCTCAAATACTTATGATTTCCCCCACAAAATCCTACCATGCCTCTATTCTATTAAAAAAAAAAATTCCAGAATCCAAAACAGTCTTGGAAAGATAGAGTCTGGGCAGGGATTAATCCACTCTGCATCAAATTAAGTCCAAACTTTAGCCTCCCTCCCCCGCAAGACAAATTTTATACTTTGACACTTAATTTTGTATAATTTGTCTTAGGAAGAACATTCCCTATCCATCCTCCCTAACTGTCTCGGCTTCAGATCCCATTAAATCTGGATTTGCCCACCACAGAGGAGCCTTGTCCTGGGCCCACAGTGGCACAGAGCCTAAGGGGGTGGATGGGGGAGGGGTCCTGCCTGTCTCCCATCTCTCTTTTGTGACTCCTGCAGGAGCCCTGGTGGTCACTACCTGGAACCCACCAGACTACCTTTTCACTAGAGGGGATGAGCATATCACTCAATGGATCCCTGAAAAACCCCTTGTCCACCTGTGCCCTGGTCTGTGTGTAATCCTAGGGGCCAGGTCTGCTGGGGGACAGGCCAGGAGGTCCCCTAGTCTCTGCTCTGTCCATTTTGCTGGTGACTGGTGAATGAGGTGACCCCTCTTTTCAGTCTCTTTGCCTGAGACATATGGACTAATTGGGGTAACCCCTTCTGAAAGCTGGTGATCTTTACATTAAAGATGAAGCAAAGGGCCGGGAATGTAGCTCAGAGGCACTGCAGCCTTTGATTCCCAGTACAAAAAAATGAAGAAGCAAAACCCCTCACTGTGGTCCCAGGCCCAAGCCAAATCCCCTGTCCATCATGCAAGTCCCTTGTGAGGGACAGAAAAGCTGAGACTCTACTCTTTCTTTGATACTCAATGATCTATCCAAGGTTATGACTTCGGTGGGCCAAGAGGGTGTGATTTTTCCCTCGCACCCTTCTGAGCAATTAGAAGAAAAGCCAGAGCCATGTGAGTCAGTGTTTAATGCTTATCCTTTCTGGCTGTTACCTTCCCAGAGTAAGCAGGCTAATCTTGGATGGCAAAGTTGAGGGGCATTAGGTAAATACCTTGGCAGGAACAAAAGCAGCTGAGTGAATAAGTGAGAGAGGTGCTGGCTCTGCCAGGCGGATTCCAAGGTTCACAGGAAGAAAAGAAACCAGTACTGGAGCTTGACTGAAAAGCCCACAAACCTTACTGGGATAAAGATATCACCAGCCCCTCACGCTCCATGGAGCTGGGTGGTGGCTTTGTAGTGCTGTGGTTGTCAGTGGGGCTGTCTTTGGAGAGCCACAGACGTGGTGCTATTTGCCGACACCCCTCAGGCTTGTCTTGAGCTTACATTGTGGGACCAGCATTGGAGTGTGTTAACCAGACTTCCCACGGCTCAGGGCAGGGGAGATGAGTTCACACTGGGGTCTGTGGATCGCCCATCACAGGAGTGATGGAAGACTTAGATCAAAAGATGAATTATGATTCCACAGAGTGTCATCAGAATCCTGGCTTGCTGGGCCCTGACTTCAGAGCCTCTGACTCCTTAGGACTGGGGTGGGACTCTCGGTTCTGCTATGACTCAGTTTCATAATCTCTTTTGAGCCCAGTGAGTTGTCCACACGATGGGGTGATATCATGGGCTTTGCCTGTCCCCAAGGTGTGGGTGATTAATGGATAAGGACTTTCACCAGGCTCTTACCAGAGATGGAGCTTCACTTACATTATTGCATCATTTTAATTAATCTTCGCAACCTCTTGGGAAGTGGGTCCTATTAGTCTTATTCTAAAGTCTTGGAACCTAGAGTTCTGGAAGCTGCGGTCCTGGGTAAGAGCACTTCCGGCTGACCCCAGCACCCCGGCTCTTTGCTGTCTGGTCCCTGACTCTCACTGTGAACACTGAGCCTGGTTACACATTCTGGAGCTTTTAAGGTCTTTTAAGCGGTGAGCAGGATTTATTTAATATAAGGCTGCCCTGGTGGACAGATCACCCTGCCACAGTGAGTAAACCTCAATAAATCAGGACTGGGCAAGAGAGGACAGTTCCAGAAGAAAACACAACGCATCTGTGACTCAGTTACACTGTTCAAGATGGGACACTCTGTCTAGATGTAGGCATTAATTAGGAGGAGAAAGGACAGAGCACATTGCTGGCTGTTGGGTGGGCCAAGGGCTCTGTTACAGGCTGCCTGGAGCCCAAGAAAACCTGGCACCAGGCCACAAACTCTGCAGCTGTTTCATTAACAAGGTAAAAGTGGCCAAAAGGAGCAAAGGGCAGCTTTGAAGAGAGAAAAAAGTGCTCATGCAAGGCAACCAGGAGAAGCTACCAAGCAGAGCCAGGAAGACCCTGAGTGACACCCACTTTTTGGTCAACGTGAACAAGAAGAGCTCATGGTCAGGTTTGGAGGGGACAGAGGACCACTAAAGTCTATTTCAGCTCTAGTCCCATCAAATTGGATTCATGCTGCATTGATCTACCAGCCTTTTTCCTCCGGGTAAGTAAACATTTGTATAAAGTTGAAATGGAATTTGTTTTTTAACTCTCAGAAAGAATTTGATGAGCTGTCATACTGAAGTGTATTAGGAACATATGGGTATGAATACTGTATAATAAATTACTTCAGAGAAGATGAGCTCATCCTGAGGAGTCAGACAAGACCATGGGGGTCAAAACGGGCTTTGAATATTGCCATTGTCCTTAATTAGAATAAGGCAGGTGTAGCAATTGGGATAGTACTCTAGATGTGGAAAGCAACCTCACTTAGTAATTGCAATAGCTTCTGCAGAGGAACTGCACCTGAGACAGAAAGAGAGAATGAAACTCTACACATTTCAGGAGGTAAAGCAAGTTGTGACAATGAAAAGCCGTACAGGGCCATAGGAATGGGTAGGAAAACCAAAGACATCCTTCAAGGCAGTCAGTCATGATGTGTTTAGGGTAAAGTAATTCAAACCACATAGGAACTGATTGGTTCTGACCCACTTGGTATAAACTGGGAGAGATTTTCAGTCTTTGCAGCCTGTTCCTCTCCTGTTTCTAGTTTGGTCATGACAACAAATAAAGTATCTAAAATAACTCTAGAGCCTTGGAAATCGTGTGGTCTATTGATATCGATCACTTGAATCTTATAGATGGGAAACCTGACAGCTAAGTACTTTGTCCAAGGTCCAACAGCTATGCAGCCAAGGTACATGTTCTCTACACAGTGGAATACATTAGTCTACCTTTCATGATCCTAAAGTACCTGGGGAATTTCCAGAACCTTTTTAGGCTAATGAGGTAGCAGGCTGCCAAATACTCCCTAAAATGTCCCGTTGCGGATAAAACGCTGAGATGGATGGATAGATACCTCATGACTGGTAAGATCTTTTTTCCAAATAATCTTATATAAGCGATTCCCAACAAATCAGGTAGCTAGGGCTTCACAGGGAAATCACAAGTGAGTTTAGTACCAGCATAATAACACTAGCCCAGGCATCTGTTAGTTTGGGAAGAAGTGACTCTTCCTCTTCTGGACAAGGCAGGGAATGATCAGCAGATGGTGCTCCATGGAATTTCAGAGAATGACTAGATTTCCTCCACTTCTGTGTTAATTAGAAGCGCCTGGCACCAGGGGCTGCGACCCTGTAGCTTCAGATAGCCTTATGGCCTGCCCTAGTGGCTGCTGCTTGGCCCTGGGAGTGCTTCATCTCTCTACTCCCAGCTCACTGCATTCTCTTGGACCCAGCACCATACCTAGGCAGCGAACAGTTGCTCTGTGTCTCTTCTGACCAGGCCAACTCCGTATGTCAGTCATTTCCAGGACTCTTTCTTTCATCGATCACTTTAATTTACCATTTAAAGCCATTTCCACCATTATGTGGAACTTCATAGAATTCTCTTTCTCTATACAGGTGATTTTTGAAAATCTTCAACTTGCATTAGGACTACGGCAGATCATATCTGTGTCAAAGCCAGGGGTAAAAGCTCCTGGCATTCCTAAGTTTGACAACTGGAAGTAGACACCCAGCAATCAACAAACACATTGTGCTTTCAAGTTCAAAGAGCTGAAGTTAGCTAGCAAAGCGGAGGTTGACCTGTTTTGATCAGAAGAATGAGACTGACATGGCACATACAAGGGTACAAGACAGAGAGTTCCTTCCTCCTCTGGTCCCTGGAAGGACCCCATGCACCCAGAAAAGTGACAGGCAGCAGTGGCAAGACTTTTCTTTATTCCAGTGCAAAGCAGTCATGGTAACATTTGGATTTTACAGGTGTAGCAGATAAAAGATGCTACGTGTCTTGATGTGTGGTGAAGCCACAGAAACTTCTAGAGAAACCCTGGAAGCCCTGGAAGGATTCCTCACAAGAAGGCAGAAGATGAGTTCGAAATTTGTGTGCTACTCAAGTTTGAGAGAGTGTGAGGATGGGCTTAGGCCATGGGAAACAACAAGGGACAAAGAGCCGAGGTTGTGATGCACACTGTTTCTGTATCCTCTTGTCTTGCTCTAGGTAACATGCCTGTTTGCATGGCGAAGTATTTGATATGATGCATGGTTTTAATGGAAAGCTTGAGCTTGCTTGGCCAGGAGCTTGGTGGATGTTTGGCAGGGCTATAACCACGTGGACAGGGCGTTTGGCTCCCTGAGACCCAGTCTAGGCCCTCAGGTACACCGGTGTCCAGAGATGCTCATGGCACCCGTGTGACAGGTGTAACTCCAGGGGGGGCACAAGCCAGCTCAGGGAGCAGCAGCCCAGGATGTGGAGCCACTAAGGCCAGGGCACTGCTGACAGGAGGGCCAAGTAATTAGGGAACAAGAATCTAGTAGGTGCCCAGTGTGCGTGACTTTCACCATGATGTTTTAAACACAGAATAGTGCTTTTGGCAATTTTTTTCCAAGCAAAAAATGAAGGCTTTGGATTTTCAAATGGGGTTATTTGCCTTTCATCTGTGTTTTCTCTACTGTTCTATTTTCTGACCCATTACTTTCATCTTTGAAACCTGTCATTGTGACTCTTACATCAATGTAACCGTCACTTAAAAGGCTTTTTGCTTTTTGGGGTCAGAAATGTTTAATATCAGGCAAGTTAAATGATTTTATGTGTATTGCCCTCAGATTTGAGAGTCCTGAAAGTGCTGTAAAATCAACTGCTCAAAGAGAATGAGTGCTTTGATTGGATTTTTTTTTTTTAACCCAGAGGAACAGAACATTTGAAAGATCCTAAGGGAAAGGGGGAAACTGGAAAGGTGGTCAGTACCTGGGTCCCCGAGAGAGAGGGCAGGAGAAGGGGTGGGGAGAGGTGGAACAAGGGACAAGGACCACACTCAGTCTTGGGCTGCTGGCTTTGTATCAGAAAGCCTAGATCGAATCGGCTCTGCCACTTACCAGCTGTGAGGGTCACAGCAAAGCCTGCAGTTTCTTTGGGCCTTAGTTTCCTCATCTGATGAATAGGGCTCACAGCATTATGGGAACGTGGGAGAAAAGGCTCAGCACCTAAAGTGGTGAGTACCTAAGTACTTAGTATGAATTAGCAGCAAGTAGAGTTATCTAGAGAGGCTGGATGGGAAGCATCCATGTGAGTAGGCGGTGTGTGGCCCTGACCAGCCCGGGCACAGGTCCTGAGGGCCATATTAAAGATGAGCCAGGGGTCTTGGTGGCTCCAGCATTCCGCGGCTTGTAGAGCACCCCTCCCCGCATGTCTGGTGTGTTTGCTTTTGTTGGGAGGAGCTGATAACTGTCCCCAGATGTGTGGCAATTCCCTTCCCTCCTTCCCTGGGCAACCTAAGCCCACACAAGAGGTGACCCTGTTAGTGGTGCCTGCTCTTGGATCTGTCATCCCTGATTAAAGGTCTCAGGCAGATGGCAAGGAGAGAACAGCCATGGGGAGTGAGGGTCCAGAGTGTCTGCTGAAGTGTGAGCTTCCTGTCACCCCCTGTGTCCCATCAGACTACTTCTGTATATTTCAGTGTCTGCTGATGTGGGGGCCACAGTCCTCTCCCCTGAGACAGAGAGAAGGTATGAAGAGACATTCAGAGAGACTAAAACCTAAGTGCAGGCTCTGCCCTAGTCTTTGCTCTGGGCAGGTGGCTATCAGGACCCCAGAGCAAACCACATATGGTCACAGCACAGGGGAACAGTGCTGCTGGGCTTGGAGGTTTTGGGGGCATCGTCCCTGGCCACCAATCTCTCTAAGTCCCAGATGTCCACAATGCTGTTGCAATGAGGGCCTCAATGCATAGGGGCAGATTGGAATCCACTGCTTAGATTGGCCTAGAAGACTTCCAAAGCCGGCTGAATCTGTAGCCTTCTGGGTGCCACTCAGCAATGCAGAAATAATTGACCAGCTTGTGCAAATGCTAATGAGTGCTCAAAATAATTCTGAGGACCTATCTTGTGTGGCAAGCAGGGCCCATTGAGGAGCGGAGCTGTCCTGGGCAGGCTTCCTCTGTCCTGACCTGCAGGGCCCAGAGCATGAGAACCCTGAAGGGTTCTCGGGGGGAGTGGGTGACTTGGGCAACTCTGGGCGTGCGTCACATTGCAATGGGAGTTAGGCCCTGCTGGGTGGGCGAGCAAACCACACTGGTGTTAGTGGCACACCTATCCTGCCAGGGCCCAGTTCTTTGTGCTTAGAATTAACTTCTCTAAACAAATTAACAGAGCAGAGAGAAGATACTCATTTCCTTGGCTTCGGTCTCGGGTCCATCAGGAATGTGCATGTGCGTGTGTGTACACGTATGCGCACACACTCGTGCAAGTGTGTGTTTATCTAAGCCAGAGGGCTGGATCATGGACAAAGCAGGGTGTTGATGAGTGCTGCCAGCCCTCAGGAAGGCACCAGAAGCCTCTGTAGTAAGCACTAAAAGTGGTGGAACTTCCATGGACAGGATGGGGCTGGTACCCACTTCTCCCTTCCTTATCCCAGTCAGCCAGTCAATCTATTGACAATGCATCCAGATCCTTTTTTACCTTGCACACAGTGGCCCAAGGCCCAGCTTCTTTCAGGGTGCTTCCTGAAGCTACAGGCCAGTGGCACTTAAACAAGTGGACAAAAATCAATTCAGTGTGACACGTAGGAAACAGGAAAGACACAGGAGCACAGAGAGAGGGGCCATCCCAGGACTTAGGAGTGCCCTGCGGCTTGTGGGATTCGCCAGAGCAGGGTGTGGCTCTTATGAGGAGAGCTGGGGAGTGGAAGGCAGGGAGAGTGGCACCCACAGGAAGGCCAGGGGAAGGGGGAGGCAGGGCAGGGAGGAAGGGCTGTTTCCGCCTTGCATGGGGACCAAGAACACAGGCTCAGCGCTGTGATTGCCCATGTTTGGGTCCCAGCTGAGTGACTTTGGT